TAGGAGTATGCTAGGACTGCTTGAGAAATAACACAGAGGAGAGTGTGGCTGAAGTATAAGAAGAGGAGGCTGGTAGAAATTGTGGGCAGAAGGGAGCAGTTTAAGGACTTTCACTTCAAGTGAAATGGGAGGTCATTAAGGAAAATAAAACCATTTCACTACTTGATGTGAACTGTGGCATCTTTTCAGTGACTAGAAAAATAAATAGTGTTAGACAAATAGAGAAGACATGAAAGCGTTTGGGACTAAGAGAACAGTTCCAGCACTAAGTATGCCCAGAGTGAGAATGTAGAAATTGCGTTTCAGGGCAGTGGGTAGACCCGCAGTTTGAATTAGTGGATCTGGGTGGGGAGCAGGCGAGTACTGAGGAGACGCTGGAGAGGGCGTAGAATGCCAGGTGAGAGGCTCAAATTCCATTCTGTAAGAAACAAGGAGTCACTAAAGTCCCCAAATATGCAAAAGTATGACCTAGCCGAGTGGTCAGCCCCAGTTTCACTGCCCTGGATCATTTCTCTTACCATATGTTACAAGTTGTTTAAGATTCTGCTTGCCAAACATACTACATGTAAAGAAGAATTAATACATTCCTTTTGTCATGGTTATAATCAAAGGAATCTATAACTGTCAATTAATATCTCTGATTAGCATAAACTAATAAGCATTTTCTCACTAGATTGACATAATTCTAACTCAAAGTAAATATAAAGATAGACGTTGACATAGAGGTGAAATATGATTTCTGCTAGGGCTTTTAAAACATGAAAAAGCATATGAAACGCCACCCCTCTCCATTATGGCCTGCTTCTGGGAACGCAGGGGCCACATACATCTGGGAACCAGTAACTGAGGCTGCGCTACAGGGTCTTCAGCTGGATTTTCAGCTGGAAGGCTGCCATGGAGGCGTCTCCACGTGGACCTGAATTCACTGTGTTAAGGGTTCTGGCAGCTTCCTCAGTTCCTCAGTCCCTGTGACCATCTGGTGACTGCACTGACCATCTGGTTCCTAAGTTGCATGATCCTCCCCCAGGCTCCTCAGAACCGGAATTATTGCTCCATTGATTAGCTAGTGAAAGTTTATTATTAAAAAATATAAGACCTTTTCCTGCTTTTTCTCCCCTCTTTGATTATCTCTGGGGGTCAGTGTTCATCTCCATGAGACCATGTTATCTCATGACATTAGCTTGAAGCTCATATCTTGAAATCCAAGTTTCCATATTGCAACTGACCCACATGGTGAAATGATATGAACACTTTAGTCATCCATGCATCCATTTATTCACTCAGCAAACATTTATTTAGCGAGAGACAGAAGTGGTAAGCTAACCACACATCCCAGTTAGCCCAGGACAACTCCAGCTTACTCCTGCTGTTCTGATACCATTATTATTATTATTATTTCA